TTTTTTTTTTTTTTTTTTTTTCTGTCAGTAGTTAGGTAGGACCAGTTGTCTTTTAAGTGCCTTTCTGGATTGTGATGGTAAATCCAGATCATTTTCAAAGAATGCCAGTTTTCATGTAGGGAGATAATCTCATTTATCCAAAAGAGTTGCTCATTAAAGGGACAAGTTAAAGAAAAAGAGATTGAGAACATCCAGGCTGATTTTTTAGGAATCGTTCTGATCTGATTTTGGTTGAAGCTGAATTATTAAGTATTCAGAGTATGATCCTGGGCTCCATGAGAGTAACAAAGGCAGGTTCTATGATGAACTCATAAAGCTTAACCCATAAAGCAATTTGATAACATCTAATAGTAATGTCAAAGTCTGCACATAGTTTCCAAAAGAATTGCTCAAGTACAGGATGGGAGAGACCAAAAGGGGTCCAAGAGTTTAGCCATTTCAACATGAATTAGTATGACATGAATTACTCAACACGAATTAGTATGAATTAGTAGAATTACTTCTACTGAAACAACGATTGTGATACTTGAGTGCTTCTTATTTTGGTATAGTGTCAAGACTGAGAGATATCTCTATTCTCTGCAATGGGTTGCTTGATTCTGGAGACCATATTTTAAAGTGGCACATTGAAAACTGAAGCGTGAAACAGGAGGGCAACTCGGATGCTGAAAAGCCTGAAAATACTTCCATATGGAAGGAGGTGGAGAATAGAGGAGACTTAGGGGAGCATGAAATGATCTTCAGCTATTTGAAGGGCTATCCCTGGGAAGAGAGGAGTAAGTAGACTTTTGTTTTGCTCCAGATGGCAGGTCTGGGACATTGGGTGAAACTACAGGAAACCTATTTCTGAAAAAGAAAGAAGTTTATATTTGTTTTCAAACAAACACAAAAAGTATGGAAAAAGGAGTGATCTGTCTTTGAAAGTGTTTAAACATTGGTCCAGAGACCACCTGCTGGTGATGTATTATGGAAAGTACATCAGTACTGTGAGCAAAGTTGAAATAAATAGCTTTTCAAGTTCTTTCTTGTTAAGAGCCCTGATCTAGAAGAAATATCATTTGACTAATGATAATTATTATTGGCATATTCTGCCACACAAATAATACTTCATTTATTCATTTAAATGCTTATGAAGAACCACTAAATGCCAATCCCTCTTCCAGGTGCTAGGGATGCACAGTGAACAAGAAAGACAGAGTTTCTCCCTTCATTCTTAAGAATTTTCATGGAATAGATCTGGAAATAGTATATCAATTGTATAGACATGACTAAGGTACTTGGATTATTTATTCTTTTAAGTAGGTTAAATATGCCCAAGGGCCCTTTTTGTAGTATTTTTCTCAGCATAAACTTTTAAAAGTTAGTAAATGATTGTTTTATTTATGTCTGAATTAAGGAAAATTTTAAATTAAGGAAAGTTTATAGTTTGAATTTTCATAAGATTGATGTGTAATAGCAGTTAAATGCCTTTCAGAGTAAAATGTGAATAATTTTTGGCTTGTCTACCACTTTAAATGATTAATTACCACTTTAAATGATTAACTCTGCAAGTGTTTATTGAATGCCTTTTATGTTCCAGGAACTATAAAAGTTCTGGGTATATAGCAGTGAGAGAATCCTTGTCTTCTTGGAGCTCACAAAATAAATAAGTTACATAATATGGTAGGTGATAAGTGCTAACCAGAAAAATAAAGTGGAGGTTAGGGGAGATTGGGTAGGGTCTTGGGGGCCAATATAAGAACTTAGAGTTTTTCTTCAAGTGAGATGGAGAACCACTGGGCGGCCCTGTGAGTAAAAGTGCTGAGTCCTAACCACTGGACCACCAGGGAATTCCCTGACTTACGTTTGAAAAGGATTACCATACCTTCACTGTTGAGTGTAGAGAGATCAGTTAGGAGACTCTTGTAACAATCTAGGCCAGAGTTGGTAGTGACTTGAATCACATGGAAGGAATGGAGATGGTAAGAGGTGGTTAGGTTCTGGATATTCATTTAAGGTAGAGCTACACAGCTTGCTGTTGGCTGTGGGGGGCGGGGTGAGGGTTTGAGATCATGGATGATTCCAAGGTTTTTTGCAAGAGCGCCTAGAAGCTTTGGAGTTGCCAGTAACTAGCACAGGGAATACTGGGAGTGAAGCAGTTGAGAGGAAATGAAGAATTGAGTTTGAGGCAGTAAAGTTTGAACTGTCTACTAAACATCCAAATGGGGAAGCTGAGTATAATAGTCTGGGGTTCAGGGCAGAGGTCCAGGCTTGAGATAGAAATCAGGGAGCCATCAGTGCTGATGAGGGAGAGAAGCATTCCAAAGTTCAGTGGTCAGGGAGATGCAAATGAGCCCACAGAAGGCTGAAAAAGAGGAACTAATGAAATGGAAGGACAACTTGGAGAAGTGGCGTCTTGGAAGCCAAGTGAAGAAAGTGTTTTCAGGAGGAGGGAGTGACCGACAGGGTGAAACGATGGTGTTGGTCAAGGAAGATCAGTTCTGAGGTTGGGTTTAGCAATGTGGATATCACTGTGGACCCTGACAAAAATTATATCAGTGGAGTGGTCAGGTCAGAAGCGTGATTGAAATGGGTTCAAAAGAGAGTGGGAGAAGAAAAACTGGAGATGATAAATACAATTATAGAAGTCTTCTGCTATAAAAGGGAGCAAAGAAATGAGGGGGTGTCTAGGGGAACTTTGGGGGCTAAGAGAGATTTAAGATGAGAAAAATTACACCATGCTTTGTATGGTGGTGGAAACGATCCAATAGAGAGGGAAATATTGATACAGGAAAGAATTGCAGAAGAAATGTCCTGGAGTAGTCAGGAAGAGATAGGTCTAGTATACAAAGTGGAGGAGTTGATCTTAGAGCTTGGATCATCCATCTATAGTAATAGGCAGGAGGCAGAGGTTGTGGATGGGTAGATGTGGTGCTGAGGGCTGATGATAGTTTTTTCTGCTTGCTTCTCTTTTCTTCTTGAAATAGGAAGATCATCTGCTGAGAGGAAAGAGGTGTTGGGAATTTGAGGAGAGGGGAGGGTATGAGATAGTTGTCCAGAAGAGTGGGAGAGTCTGTGTATTAGGGGAGTCATCCTAGTTTAGGCCGTTATAATGACATACCCTAGCTGGAGTGGCTTAAACAACAGATATTTATTTCTCACAGTTCTGGAGGCTGGGAAATCCAAGATCAGGGTGCCAGCATGATCAGGTTCTTGCTAAGGGCTCTCTTCTTGGCTTGCAGATGGCAACCTTCTCACTGTGTCCTCACATGGCCTAATCCCATCATGGGGTCCCCACCCTCATCTAAACCTAATTACCTACCAAAGACCCCACTCCCTGTATGATCACATTAGGGGTTAAGGCTTTGAGTGTTTTGAGGGACACAAGCATTGAGTCTTTAACAGGAATGTAGTATGCTCCCAGGGCAACATGAAGGGTCCACCTGAGGACTGTGGTGATGAATTTAAGGGGAGACACCAGGCATTGTGTTTATCTAGTCAAGTTTAGCTGTCCAGGCATAGGCATAGTCATAGGCAGACAGTTGGGTTTATCCAGGATTGGGATTTTTCCAGGTAACCATGATGAGGGGTGGGAGGAAGAGAGTGATTTTTTGATGATTAACCATAATTTATGCTGGCCAAGGAGGGAAGTAGGGACACAAGGTGGGTGAAGACCCTTGAACAGTATATGGTAGATCGGTGCTTTGAACGTCCTAGTGGGATGGAAGAATTTTTGGACTCGGTGCCAGAGGGAGTGAACTAGGAAAAATAGAAGATGCCTGAAGTGAAAAGTAGGGAGAGATTGCAGGTATTAGTGATGACAGATCTGAGGTATGACTGCAGTCGGAGGCTGAGGTGGGATAAAGAACAAAAACACTGGGAGGGAGGAGTTCAAGTTAACACAAGGCATTAGTGTGATTATTTCAGTATAGGAGATCTTGTTTTTCACGTGTCATAGCTTGAAGTGGGGTTAGAGAAAAAAAAAAAAAAGCATCAAACCAGCCCAAACAATACTTAATTACATTTTTCTGTACCTAAATGTTTTAGTGCTAATAACCTAATCCAGTATTACACGTCCATATTGTGAGCATTCTCAGAGCTGGTCTTTCTTCTTCTTAGCATTCTGTTTAACATTGATTTTTCTTTCTTTTTTTTTTTTTTTTTTTTGCGATATGTGGGCCTCTCACTGTCGTGGCCTTTCCCGCTGCCGGACGCGCAAGCTCAGCGGCCATGGCTCCCGGCCCCAGCCGCTCCGCGGCAAGTGGGATCCTCCCGGACCGGGGCACGAACCCGTATCCCCTGCATCGGCAGGCGGACTCCCAACCACTGCGCCACCAGGGAGGCCCAACATTGATTTTTCTTAATGCAATAATTGTTGGTTCTTCAGAGTTGAATACATCCTTGGATGATCCAGAATTTGCTGATGTTATATTGAAAGCAGAGCAAGCAATAGACTTTGGAGTTTATCCAGAAAGAATCTCTCAAGGTTCAAGTGGAAGTTACTTCGTGAAGGATCCTAAGAGGGTGAGAATTTCACAGACCTACTATACATAACAGACATTTTGGAAAACACTAATTTAAATGTGAAGTCATTGTAAGTTTCTGAAGATATTTTCCTAATAAATCTGATTACACCTTCTTTTCAGAAATAAAGGTCAGTTTACTATTAACTAAAGCACTCTACTACGTAAAAATTGAGCTATTCATTTTAAGCCATAGCTTTCTGTTTTATTATTATTATTATTTATTTTATTTTATTTTATTTTATTTATTTATTTTTTTTTTGCGGTACGCGGGCCTCTCACTGTTGTGGCCTCTCCTGTTGCGGAGCACAGGCTCCGGACGCGCAGGCTCAGCGGCCATGGCTCACGGGCCCAGCCACTCCGCGGCATGTGGGATCTTCCTGGACCGGGCCACGAACCCGTGTACCCTGCATCGGCAGGCGGACTCTCAACCACTGTGCCACCAGGGAAGCCCCTGTTTTATTATTTTAATATTTGGTTTCAAGTATTTATTGAATACTCACATTTAGCTGTAGATTCGTTGGGTTTATATTCACAAGTCCTTACCATACAGTAACCAAGCAGAGTTTTATTTTACCCTCAGAATATTTTTTCCAGCATTGTACCAGAGAAGGAGCCTGGGCAGTCTGAAGTTTGAAGGCGTTGGAATGTGACAAAGTGAAATGAACCAAAGTATAATTCTAAGGCAGAAAAGAGAAGTTGATATGGGACTTTGTTCCACTTAGTCTAGAATTTTTCAAAAATCTGTATTATTTCTAAAAGCTTTCTGAGTGATACATAGCCAGCAGTTCTCTTTTTCAGGAGGAAAAAAGATTATAATTCCACCCAAATATTTTTTGCAAAGACTGAAGTTATATTTTAAAACATAGTCTTTTTTGAGATTTAAATATATATATGTAGGTAATGTCAATCTCTCTATCTTTATTCCAAGCTTGATTTCTTAATTTGTTCTTGTTGACTTTTTTATTAGTGACTCAGACTTTATTGCATTATAAAACAGTTATATACTTATAGTAAGATTTTTATTTCTTGTCTAAGGATAATTCAGCTTCTAAATTTAATATTAATGTATTTTATCAGACCAGTAATAATGATTATAGACTTTTAGACATCCATGAGCAATTTTTTTTAAGAGGAGAGAATTTATTTAAAAATTGGTTCATAAAGAAATAACTGAAAAAAAGATTTAAGGTAGGAGGATCTGGCAGCATAGATGTCACTATATCCTATCATTTCCTTTGTATCTTAGAGATGACTTTTTGTCATTGGATTTATTCATTTAACAGATGCTTGAATGTCTGCTGTGTACCAGGTACACAGTACTTAGGATATAGCCCTAACAGAGAAAGTGCCTGCCCTTTTAGAATACACATCTACTGGGAAAGTAGACAATAAATAAACATAGAATTTGGGTATTTAATAGATATTGAATAATAGCACTGTTTGACCTAGGTCAGTGGTTTTCAAACATTTTAAAATCAGTGGAACCCCTTAACTAGGAAGTCCAGTACATAAAATGGGTGAAATCAGTGGATGGGGTCTTAGAGCCCTGCCCTCCCCTCTTCTCTCACCTTCCCTAGAATTTCTCAGAGCACGGTTTGAAAACCATTAGCCCAAAGGATTATTGATTTTAGACTGTTGAATGAGGAGGCATATAAAACTGTTATTGGTATTAAACCTCTTAATAGTTAAGAGTGATGCCCAAATTTGTGGTGGGAAGAAGTAGAAAATGATCAGAATGCGTTTTATGGATTATTATCTCTCTGTATTAAAAGTCTAATAAAATTTCTACTTTTTTTCCCCTATAGAACATTATTGGTGTGTTTAAACCCAAATCGGAAGA